TTTTTTCTTCCTCCTTGTTTCTTTCATCTTTCAATGTCTAATTTCATTTATCAGCAAACCTCAAGTTTATTTGTAAAAGCAAATATCTTTTTCAATTCATCAATCAGTGGAATCCTTCCCATTGTTTCTTTTATCTCTCAGTGTTAGTTTTATCTCCCAGCAGAGCCACAGCTTGTTTGTAAAGACAAATCTGCTATTCCTTTCAATCCCTCTTCTTTTTTTTTTTTTTTTAATAATTGTCTTACCAAACTTTAGTTATTGACTTAATTTCCTGTTCCTGGATCTTTTTTGGTTTTGCAATTATTTGCAGAGACATCACTTTCTGTCCTTTTGTAGCCATCTCTGGATCAGTAGGCATGGCTACTACCTCCATCCCTTTGATCACATGTTGAATAAGTTGTACTAAGCAAGGGATCATGCATGGTAAAAAGATTAGAGTTGCTACAGCACATAAGAGGAAAAAAAGCAGTTGTTTAACCCATAGTCCACCAGGTAACCACAAAAACATGTCCCCTTCCCATTCCCATCTTTTTCATGTTTGGACTGGTACATGATCTAACTTTCTTATTCTTTTGTTATTTTTTTCACCACCTTTCCATTGTCATTTATTTGCAAACAGCAGTTTGAGTCATTCAATTTGCCACACACTCCCTCTTCTTCTGCTAATAAATAGTCTAATACCATCCAGAGTGTTGCCACTTCCACTGATAGCCATGGACTATGTGTCCTACTTGTGGAATTATCTTGGGGACAGCTTAAAAATAAAGGGTCAAAAAACTTCCCTACTGCTTTACAGCCTTCAAAATCCTTCCGGTAATTATGGAAGGAACACCTTACCCAGCTACCATTAGTGAGCTTAACATGTGTTTGATTCCATCTGCCTTGATATCTGGAACAACCATAAGGAGAGCAGTTTGGGGTCCGACAATCTAAACCCGAGGATAAAGTCCAGTCACAAACGCTTTTTCCCACATATATGTTTCCTGTTCTATTTAGACAATAAATGCCTCTTTCAAAAGAATGAAGCTGCCATAGACTTCTTTCTTCATCCCAAAATCTTGTTCCATTATGGACCTCACTCAAGGTGCTAACCCACGATTTAGACTCAACTGGGCTGGCCACCCATGGCCAGCTTTCAGATCCCCCTGGCCCTCTGCAGACCCAACAATTGCTAAGGTTAAAGGTTTTTGCTACTTCTTCTCCCAAGGTTAAAAAATTATTTTCCCACTTTTGGCCCCAACCTAACTGACAAAATAAGAGTATTAAGAGAAACATTCTAACGGTGTCATCTAATCTCCTAACCTAATTTTCACTTTCACGTTGTCTTCCACACCACCTGTAGTGAGAGAAGACAAAGAAACAGCTTAACATAAAGAATATAATGACAGCAAGGATTGGCCCCCAATGACTGGAGATCCAAGAGGAGGGATGCCAACACAAACTATTTCAGCAGGCACTCTGTGGGTAGGCACACAGAGCTTCCCCAGCACTGGCTACTGCTCCAGTCCACTCCTGCAGAGTGTCAGTCGCAGCTTCCCATCCTTCTCCTCCAGCTGAGATGTCCAAATCTCCGGGGCCTCAGAGATCTTGACCCGAGTGTGATGGGTCCATCCATGTTCAGCTGTCTTGATGGCTGGTTCTGTGGTCAGAAACACTTGGAAAGGTCCAAGCCACTTGGCCACCAGGGGTGCTTCTTTCCACTCCTTAACTAGGACCCAGTCTCCTGGCTGGATGTTGTGAACAGCAAAGTCCAAAGGCAGGGTCTGTGCCAGCTGAGCTTCCTGTCGAAAAGATTTCACAAGAGCCAGTAACCTGTATAGTGTATAGGGAAAGGCGGTCGGAAGATCACGCGCTGTTACGAGAAGTCACAGGACCCGTCTCTTTCCCAATCCCCTAAGATAAGCCATCACCCTTGGAATGTAACGACTGTAGCCCCCCTAACATGCTAGTAACTTTCCATTCCTTACTAACCTAGGAAGTATTGCAAAACCCCTTTCTGACATAGTAAAGCACCCTAGAGTATATAACCCCATAAGATGAGACAATAAACGCCTTTAACTGTCTACCACATTGGTGTAAGCGTCTTGTTACTGGCCCGAGCGACCCTGAAGGGTATTGGGTCGCCGTGCTGTTTCATCAGAACCAGGTCGCCTGCCTTGCATCAGAAGGCAACAAGTGGTGCCGAAACCCAGGAGAAAAACTCGGGTGACGGGTTTCGCCTGGACGACGACAGCGGCAGTAGTGGTGGGTCCGACTACCGCGAAGGGGGACGCCCCTGGGACCAGCGAACAGCATGCACACCCTAGCGAAGGTCGTAAGTTCGATTCATGAGCAATGGGGAATAAAATGTGAACTCAGGAATTTATATCTTGCTATTGCAAGACTCCTGGAGTTGGGCGCGATAGAGCGTCCCGTCGATATATTACACTCGGAGGTGTGGGAAAAGTGTACTGCAGCTCTAGCAGAGGACACAAAGTCCACCGGCAGTGGAAAAAGCCTAAAAGCGTGGGGGAAAGTAGAGGAGGCCCTACGCAAGGCAGTAGAGGAAGAGGAGACTTGGAATGCTGCGCGTACATGTTTATTAATTACACCGCAGCTGGGGGTGGGAGCCGCGACGCAGACCACCTCCGGGAATGGTCTGACCGAAATCGGGAACACACGGGGGCCGGGCGCGTTCCATCCCTCCCCGAGCGCGAGTCCGAACCCCCCGGAGCCACCAGGGGACCCTCCGACCCTTCCGCGGGATCCTAATCCCCGCGCGGAACCTCTCGAAAAATCCGCGGTTTCCCCGTCCGTCCTTGCCCCACCAGCTGGCAACCGGGAGCCGAGCCCGCCAGCCGGCGACCGGGCGCTAAGCCCACTGACCCTTTCGCGGAGCACGCCGGGTTCCAACCCATCCGCGGAGCCCGCCGAGAAAACCGCGGTTTCTCTGCCCGCCCCCCCCCCCCCCCCCTTCCCCGACCACCGACCCGACGCGGGAGGCAGAGCAGCGCGCGCGGTCCTTTTGGGGGGGGGCTCGCGGAACACGCCAGGGGCGCCGAAAAAGCGGCCAGCGCGGACGCGCGGGCGGCGCCGGTTCCACCGCCGTATACGTTTGAAAATGGCGCCGGCGACCCAGGCAGGGGGCGGAGCCCGGGAGCTCCCGGCGCGAAAAATGTGCAGGCGCGGATCCCCGCGAACGCGAACGCGCACGCGCGGGAGACCAGCAGAGAGCGCATGCTCAGTCCAGACCTGCAGGTCCCCGCGATCGCGCACGCGCGGGAGAGCGAGAGGGGGCGGACACACGATCGGGAACCGCGCCCAGCGCTGCTACTGTATAAGGGAGAGATCCCTCCTCGCGGGGGGCAGGGAACCCGAAGGGAGGAGCGGCACGAACCCCGAAGGGCGGGGCGGGGTCGGAGCCGAACAAAATCGCATGGAAAGCCGGAAGTGTACCAGCAGTTTACTTCCGACTCTGAGTGGAGCGATAGCTCCTCAGCCAGCTACACAGAGCTGACCGAGTCCGGCAGCGACTCGGAAGCGGAGAGAACAGAATTAATGCGGTTTCAAGCGAAACCGAGTAGAGCTTTAAACAATGCAGGGAAACAATCACAATACAAACTCACCGATTGGGGTAAAATAAAGGCCTGCGGCCACCATACACGCATTCCCGGTACGAGTCACAGGCTCGCAGCGTAACCAAAGGCGGAATTATACCCCGCTAAATGCAAAAGAAGTACAGGCGGTTGCAAAAGCGATTCAGGAAAAGGGGATCAGCTCAGCCGTAGTTTCCACTCTCGTGGATGGCCTTTTTAGCAATGACGATTTGCTGCCTTTTGATATCACGCAAATAAGCCACATGCTTTTTGACGGGGCGGGGCTGATTGTATTTCAGCAGGAATGGTCAGATCACTGCGCGGCCGCACTAGCCCAGGCATCTGGGCAGGGGCAGCAGCTGCACGGGTCCAGCCTGTCCAGACTGCTAGGGAAGCATGATGACGTGGCTACGCCACAGCAGCAGGCGGCACAGCTCTGGACTGAGGAGGTCAGGGCAACAACCCGAGCAGCCAGAGAAACCATATGTGCCGTCTCTCGGGTGGTAGACAAACCAGCACCGTGGTCTACCATAAAACAGGGGGAGAGTGAAAGCTTCACGCAGTTTGTAGATCGCCTGCAAGCAGCGATAGACTCCTCTACCCTGCCTGCGGCGGCAAGGGGGCCCATGGTGACTGACTGCCTAGGACAGCAGTGCAACACCGTCACCAAAGATATCTTGCACTCCCTGCCGACCGGGGCTAGCTTGGCTGACATGATCAAACATGTAGTAAGAGAAGAGCAGCTGACACCCAGGCAGGCAGCGGTTCATACCCTAACCAATGCCATGGCATGTCTGAAGTGTGGTCAAGCAGGGCATGTCACAGCAAGCTGTCCCCAGCCGGCACAGCACTCCGTAGCAGTACCCTCGCTCCAACAACGCCCGAGAGGGACCTGCTGGAACTGTGGAAAAAAAGGGCACCTCGCCAGGGAATGCAGATCCAGGCCCCGGGGAAACGGAAGGGGGAGGGGGCGCGCGGGCCATACTCAGCCTCCTCCCTCTGCGAATGCAAGATGGCCCATCTATGCCAACTCCCAGTGGGGCAGGGGACTCTCATACCCTATGCTCACACAGGAGGCAATCAGTTTTGCATCCCCGCCAGCAATACAATGGCAGAACTGTGCAGCACCGCCAGCGGTACTTTCGCACCCTCCAGCGCCACAAACTGCGCCGGTGTCACAGGGTCAGCAGGGGGCGCCCCAGAGCGGAACCCCTGGGTGGCCCTGGCCATGAAAATAGGGAAGGAGCCCCTGACGGTGTGGGGGACATGCCGCCTTTACGGCAGTCAGGACCCTCACGTCATAGGGCTTCAGTTTTTGGCGGACACGGGATCAGACTGCACGATTTTTCCCCAAGCGCATTGGCCCAGACATTGGCAAATTAAAGAAGTCCCTCCAGTGAACGGGGTGGGGGGACAATCCAGGGCATGGAAAAGCACCCAGCTGGTAGCTATAACACTTCACACGAAAAAGGGATCAGAACAGACAGTAGCAATTTACCCCTACATTCTGCAAAATTCTCCACCCCTGAGAGGAAGGGATGTCCTTGCTATGCTAGGAGTCAGGATCACAAATTTATAATGAGGGCCACTGCTGTACACCCTATGCTGCTGATAAAATTGACTTGGAAATCATCAGACCCCATATGGGTCGAGCAGTGGCCCCTGTCAGAGCCTCGAGTGGCAGCCTTATTGGAACTGGTCGAACGCGAACTGCAAAAAGGTCACATAGAACCCTCCATTAGCCCATGGAATACCCCTGTGTTTGTAATCCCTAAAAGGTCTGGAGAAGGTTATCGCCTCGTCCACGACCTGAGAGAAGTGAACAAAACAATCCGACCCATGGGCCCAGTTCAGACACTGCTACCCATGAACTCAGCCATCCCTGAAGGACAGCCATGCGCAGTGCTGGACATTAAAGACTGTTTCTTTTCAATACCCCTGCATCCTGAGGACAGAGAACGATTCGCCTTTTCCATTGTGTTCCCAAATGGCAAGCGGCCCAACCTTCGTTTCCAGTGGAAAGTATTACCCCAAGGTATGGTAGACAGCCCAACCATCTGCCAGATCATTGTGGACAGAGCACTGACGCCAGTCCGACACTCCTACCCCGCCGCAACCATCATTCAATACATGGACGACATCCTAGTCGCAGCACCATCGGCGAGCCAAGTGGATCACCTGGTGTCCACGATCACGGAGATCCTCCAGGCCAACGGCTTCGAGATCGCGAGCGCAAAGATCAAGAGAGGACCCTGTGTGACCTTCCTGGGAGTGGGGATCACAAGCTCCTACGTGACACCTCCCAAGGTGAAGGTCCACCGAGACGTCAAGACGCTCCATGACGTGCAACGCCTGGTGGGATCACTGCAGTGGCTTCGCAACATCGTCCTGATTCCTCCCGAGGTCATGGACCCTTTATATGGCCTCTTGAAAGGAAAGCACCCCTGGGAACCCAAGGAGCTGACACCGCAAGCAACGAGCTCCCTCGACTTCATCGAACAGCAGATGTCCACTGGCACACTTGCCAGGTGGAACCCAGCCATGCCCCTGGACCTATACGTGCACTTCACGCCAAAGGGGGGAGTGGGAGCACTGGCCCAAGGACCTTCCGAAAAGTCCCGACCAATCCAGTGGGTGGTCCTTGGAAGACCTGCTCGTGCATTTTCCCCAGGTGCCGTGCTGCTGTCCGAGTCTCTCTACTCCCCCAGGAGTAGAATGCATCGCCAACCTCATCAAGAAAGGCAGGAAACTCGCCTTGAAACACCTAGGAACCGAGCCAACAAGAATCCACCTTCCTTTCCACAAGCAGTTGACCATAGAGTCAACTACAATATCGGAGCACCTAGCCCTTGCTCTCACCGGCTTTGGAGGAGAAATCTCCTACTCCGCCAGACCACCTTGGACTCAGTTGCTGACCATTGTCGACATAGACATGCCGCCAAAGGTCACGGACCGACCGCAGCCAGGACCGACAGTCTTCACAGATGCTTCCTCCACGACTTCTACCGCAACAGCAGTGTGGCAGGCAGGAGAACAATGGCATTGCGTCAAAGCATGTGATCCCACACTGTCAGTGCAGCAACTGGAAGCAGCAGCAGTAGTTTTGGTGTGCGGACTCTTTCAAGATGAACACCTCAACATTGTAACGAACTCTATATTCGTGGCAAGGCTCTGCCTAGCCATGGCAGGACCAGGTGTGTCAACATCTGCAGCAGCCCTAATGCTGGAAGAAGCACTCTCTTCGTGACAGGGCACCATATCCGTCATTCACGTCAACAGCCACAACCCAGTCAAAGGTTACTTCCAGTCCGGCAACGACAAAGCGGACGCTGCAGCAAAAGGCGTCTGGACGTTGCAGGAAGCTCGTCAACTACACAAGTCACTCCACATCGGAGCCAAAGCACTGGCAAAGAGATGCGGGATCTCGACAGCGGATGCAAAACATGTAGTGGCTACCTGTCCTCACTGCCAGAAGTCACCCCTGTGGACCAGTGGGGTCAACCCAAGAGGTCTCAAGCCTTCAGAAATCTGGTAGTTGGACTTCACCTTGTGTCAACTGCTGAAGCCCCGAGCATGGCTTGCAGTGACAGTGGACACTTTCAGCGGAACGATCGTAGCCACACAGCACCACAAAACCAACTCTAAGGCCACAATTCAGCACTGGCTGACAGCCATGGCATAGCTTGGTATCCCCAAGCAGATCAAAACTGACAACGGTTCCAATTTCACTTCTAAACCAGTGCAGGAATTCGCCTCAAAATGGGGCATCACATTAGTGCAAGGTATCCCATATAACAGTACTGGGCAGGCCATAGTTGAGCGAGCAAATCAAACCCTGAAAACCAGGCTAGAGGTGTTGGCAAAAGCAGAGGGCTTTGTCAACTCCATTCCCCCAGGAGAGCAGGCACGTATACTAGCAACCGCTTTGTTAGCACTGAATCAATTCCCTAGGGGAAATGAAGCAAACAGTCCCGTTCAAAAACACTGGGCCTCCAGAGCGTTAGAGGAGGGCCCGCAGGTTGTAATTAAAAATGAGCTAGGCGAATGGGAACGGGGCTGGAGGTTGATGCTCACGGGACAAGGGTACGCAGCTGTCAAAAAGGACGGCAAAATCAGGTGGTGTCCACTTAAGTCAATCAAACCCGACCTTCACAATGAGCAGGATGAGACTAATGAGAATTGTGAGTTTCTGTTTACAGGACATGCTTGTTGGGCGTCCACGTGACGCATACATCCCCCTTCCAGAGGAAAGTGACAGACCACCAAGCCGTCAGACAGCACCCGAGAGACCCACATGGGTGAGACCCAAGCATCAGCGATATTTCTGTGTGATTTTGCTGTTGGGGCTTGTCGCCAGAGGACAAGTCAGCCCAGACCACTACCCACATCAGCCATTCAGGTGGGTTATGCGACGCCTTACTAGTGACAAGGTGCTCAAAGACATCACCATACCGAACACCCCATCCTTCATGCTTCGCGTTACTGACCTGTTTCCAGGACAACCAAAGGTAGACCCCTATTCCTCACACGCCACACACATGTACCTATCCTATTGGTGCCCAGCTTCAAACCCAGGAAAAAGTTACTGTAATCACCCAGCGTGGGGATACTGTGGACATTGGGGCTGTGAAACCATTGTTACAGATGCCAGGCCGTCAGGGCCTGGGTGGGAGCCACAAGAGCCCGACAAGTTCCTACAGTTCGCCTGGGCACTCGCCGGCTGCAAAACACCCGTTTTCCTACAGGGAAACTTCTATCGAAACAGCCATAAAATCCCTAAAATTCAGAAATGCACTCACTACAACATGACAGTTTTGCAGCCAAATCACCCTAGTTGGACCGTGGGCAAAGCATGGACAGTAGTCCTTCAAGGGTCGAAAGAGTGGGTGAACGTGCGAATTACCAGGCTCCAACCATCGGCACCCCGAGCAGTTGGACCCAACAAGGTGATTAAAAGCACGCAGAAAGGGAGAAACACGACCTACCCCAAAGCCTTGCCCACAAAGGTCACCGATGTCCCAACCGGCGATGTGGAAGCCTTCCACGTAGGCCGTCCAGCTGGGTCGGAGTCGGACCCAATCCTTCGCATGCTAGAAGCTACCTTTCTATCCCTAAACGAATCCAGCCCTAACCTAACCGACTCCTGCTGGCTTTGTTACGATGTCAAACCCCCTTTTTACGAAGGAGTTGCTTTAAATACCCCTTTCAGTTACTCCACAGCCGATGCCCCTCACCAGTGCAGGTGGGACACACCCCGCAAAGGTATTACCCTGAGTCAAGTCACAGGTCGGGGCAGATGCTTTGGAAATGCAACCCTAGCTAAGCGGAAAGGCAATGTCTGCACCAAAGTTGTCAAGCCTGACAGGAAAAATAATAAGTGGGTAGTCCCATCCACGTCTGGAATGTGGGTTTGCCAGAGATCTGGAGTGAGTCCTTGTGTGTTCCTTCCCAAATTCAATGACTCTAACGACTTCTGTGTCCAAGTTCTGATTGTTCCTAGGGTCCTGTACCACTCAGACGAAGAGGTGTACCACCTTTTTGAGGAACCCAGCTGGCTCCACAAAAGAGAAATAATAACGGGTATAACTATCGCAATGCTGCTCAGCCTAGGAGCAGCTGGAACGGCAACGGGTGTCTCAGCCCTAGCGACCCAACACCAAGGTCTGTCTCAGCTACAGATGACCATCGACGAGGACTTGCAGAGGATTGAAAAATCCATTTCCTTTCTAGAGAAGTCAGTCTCCTCACTCTCAGAAGTGGTCTTGCAGAACAGGCGAGGACTGGACCTCCTGTTCATGCAGCAAGGAGGCCTGTGTGCCGCCTTGAAAGAGGAATGCTGCTTCTACGCAGACCACACTGGAGTCGTCAGAGACTCCATGGCAGAACTCCGAAACAGACTGGCTCAGAGACAGAAAGACAGGGAAGCTCAGCAGGGCTGGTTCGAATCCTGGTTCAACCGATCACCATGGTCGACCACCCTAATTTCTACTTTGGTAGGCCCATTGGCAATGCTACTTTTAGCTATTACCTTCGGACCATGCCTGCTGAACAAGCTAGTTTCATTCGTTCAGACCCGCCTAGAACGGGCTAACATCCTGTTCGTAGGCCGACATCAAATGCTGTGAATTCATCAGGGAACACTGCCAGTCACAAGATTTCCTAAACTTGCCTGGCAAAAACTTACTCAGGTTTCCAAAACCCCTTTTTTCCCTTGTCAAATCCCAGCTCTTTACCTCCCAATGACTCTCTTCCTGAAGTTGTTTTAATAATTGCAAGGCCAGAGCTTTTGGCATCCACTGCTTACCATCCCTTGTAAACTAATTATCCCCTCTTTCCTCTGCTCTACTTTTTTAAATTATCTCAAGTTCCTCTGGTGGAAAAGACAGTTTCTCTGGCACGGGTGCAGTTACTGGGAGCAAAGGGAGCATCTAAGAGATTTTTGGCAACAATGCAGCTTTCCGAGCTTCTTCATCAGCCAGTCGGTTTCCTATTACCTCCTCCGAGCACCCTGCCTGGTGCCCCTTGATGTGCATTATTGCTAACTTTTTTGGTAAATTCACCACTTCCAATTGGCGAGAGATTAAGCTGTCACGAGCTAACGTCTTTCCCCTGCAGGTTAATAAACCTCTTTCTTCCCATAATTTCCCAAATGCATGGATCACCCCATATGCATACTTAGAATCAGTAAAAACATTCCCTCTCTTGTCCCGATATAATTCACAGGCCCTCACAACTGCATACAGCTCTGCTGTCTGTGCTGACCAGGTGGGCAGTAACCTCCCCCATTCCTTTAAGTGCTTTCCATTCATGATAGAGTATCCTGTAAATCATTTCCCTTCTATCATCCTTGAAGATCCATGAATAAACACATTTTGTCCCTCAGGCCAGGGAGTATCTCACAAATCTTCCCTAGCCTGTGACTGGAGATCCATCACCTGAATACAGTCATGGGTTTCTTCCTGGCCCCTCTCTCCAGGGCCATTCAAACAGGAGGCTGGGTTGAACCCTTCCCCACTTTTAAATTCTAAATCCTCCTATTCCATTAAAAAAGATTCATACTGTAATAACCGAGCACTGGTCACCCACTTAGAGGCTCTTTCAGTTAACATAGCTTTAATCTGATGTGAAACTTTAACAATCAGATACCCTCCCCTTGTCAGCTTTCAGGCCTCAGCCACCATCAGAGCTGTGGCTGCACAGTTCTGCAGACAATGAGGCCAGCCTCTGGCCACCAGGTCCAACAATTTTGAAAAATAAGCAACAGGCAACCTTGTTCCTCCATGCTCTTGCACCAAAATTCTTTTAGCATGACCCTGTTTAACATCTACATATAGTTCAAATTCATTTTCTGAGTCTGGAAGAGCTAAGACTGGGGCCTTAACCAATTTGTCTTTTAAGTTTTTAAAGCTTTGCTCTCCTTCTGGTGTCCATACCACAACATTAGGACTATCTTGGGTCAAAAAGTCATATAAAGGTATGGCCACAACAGAAAAATCCTCAATCCATGCTCAGCAGTATCCCACCAACCCTAAAAAGTGCCGTAACTCCTTTTTTGTCTGGGGTAATGGTACTTGTAAAATCCCTTGTATTCTGTCTGGATCAAAACACCGTAACCCTCCAGTCAGCACGTGTCTCAAATATTTGACCTTTTTCTCTACCAACTGTGCCTTCTTTTCGGATACTCTAAGCCCTTTTCTAGCAAGAAAATTAAGCAGTTTTACAG